TGTCTTTTTTTCGTGATATGAACATTCAGGGATTTTTGAGAGATACTTGTTCTATGTAATATTGTGCCAGACCCAGATTAGTGCGATGGTATCATTTATTGATCTTACGTTTCGACAAAGTCAAGAGTCGCCTTCGGAGTTCTATGTTCCACCGAGGTGTTAGTGAGTCAGTCCATAGCCGCACAAAGTAGACGGGCAACACTGAAGTGTCTGAAGCTGGATGTCTAAATGTCTAAATCATGGAACTCCTTTACGTTAAGTGCTGTGAATCAGCACGTCGAAAAAAATCTATGAACAAGAACATTGGTGTATCAGGTTATTTGTGAGTGTCAATTACGCATGCGCCGCGCGCGACAGGCTGGCGGTAATTTGCGCGCAGACAGCACTGGCAGCACGATTCACAAGTCATAAACCTTAGTCATTGTAGACATTTCAACTATCATATTGATTCCCATAATTCATATGAGGTGTGGCCTAAAACTTGTAAAAATAGAAAATTCATAAAGAAAACTATAAACACTACGTCTCAATATAAAATTTGTACTTTATGCTTACTATAATAACATGAACCCAAAACATTTCCCATTTCACATTTCCTCTGGGATGTCTGCAGGAAAGAAACCTCCACTTCAAGGCCATAGGTAGCAGTCATGACAGAAGCATGTACGAAATTGAGAAGAAGAAGGCTAACAGTTTACAATGGAAGGATACTTGGTCAACGTGGCCATCCGTAATGATTTGTTCATCAAAAAATGCGCCTTTCAATGCTGGTTCGAATGTTATCTTCCACATCTGCGAAACGAATAAATTACTCTGCTGCGGAGGGTTAAAACAACCAATAAAAAATTTTCCTTCCTTTTCAGATGCTGTATTTGATTTATGTAGGTATATACATCAGTATTTCTTTTAAGATCTCTTCAATCTCTTCAGACGGTAACCTACAGCAAATTTGGTGATTTTGACTAACCAAAAATACGCAAATTTTTGACAAAAAAAGTTCAAAACTTTTTTGAGAGATCGTTTCGCAGATATCGAGCACAGAATTAGGATCAACGTTTCAAGATGCATATTACGGTATACATCGCATTCCAAGACCACGGGTCACCGAATATCTTTTTCTTGTTAAAGAAAGAAAAAAGAAAAAAGCTGTGTAATGGACGAGTTTTCTTTCCTGCCGCCTCCAGCGCGTATTACTGTAAAGCCGCGTTGTGACAATTTTCAGTTGACAGCCACAGTTAAAGGGCGCACCCCACCCCGCATAGACCACCAAGAACACAAAGCTTTTTCACTCATTTTGAAATTATGGAGGCCAAAAAAATTTTGTCAACTCACTATTTTATGTAAACTTATTGCTTTTCCTTGTTCTCTGAGGATGTGAAAAAGCCTATTTGAAAATCTTGCACACTGATAATGATAATAGTAGAAATAATCGTTATAACTGCAAACATTTATGAAAAGATTTTCAAACCAATAACATAAAATGAGAATGCTGTTACATTCATCTTTGCATAAACTTACTATTCCTTACTACAGACATAAAGATCGGTTCATAATTACACGAACCCACAAATTTAACCGTCTTTAGGATTTTTTGAAAGACACGCAAAAAAGTGCTGGTACCATGTGAAGGAGCGTAGCCGTAAACAATATACGCAGCGCAAAAATGAAATTCGGCTTCAAGTTTGGAGAAACCTTGTGTGCCGAACACTTTTTTGGCCGGTTCATAATTATACGACTCAATACGAGTTCTTCTTTCGCTTGAAGCTGCAACCTCTGATGTTTAAATTTTCATGTAAGACTACGATCTCGAAGTCTGAGGTATTTAACAAAGGCCGGACCTGATAAAGTTTGTAAAGGGAAACTTTACTCAAATTTGGACTTGCCCCGGTCCAAGGTGGCTCCAAAAATGCCTGCTCTTTTGAGATTAAAACGTTTATTGAACTCATACAGATGAAAAATAAGAGATCAGTAAATGTGCTGTCCAACGCCCAAAAAATATTGATGTAATCGTCGCAGTTACCCACCCATTCCCAAACTCACCATAGGGTTGACACAGTTTTGAGTCTCAAAACTCGACTTCTACTCCGCGAAGTCTGTAATTTTGTATGTACATCAAAGACTTGATTTGTATACGATCTAAACCACTTGTGTTTTGTCTGAAAAATTCAAACGTATAGCATTTTGTTTCCACTACGCACTCGGCATTCAATGGAAATGAAAATGCAAATCAACGCAAGCACGCCTTCTCCTGCTTTCGGCTGCGTTCATACTGATCCCGAAGTTTGGGAACAGTTCCAGCACAGCGTTCAATTCGAGCGCTGTGCTGGAATTGTTCCCGAACTTCGGGATCAGCATGAACGCAGCCTTCCAGCTCCGAAGTCTTGACCACAGCTTTGCGAAGAATTCAAAAACTCAAGCACACATATATTATCATACAAACGAAGCATTTGCCTTCTCACAGAACTTTGAGGACGGTAGAAGGCGAGTTTTAAGCTTCAAAAGTGTGCCAACCTATGCTAAGTCTGTGGTCTGGGTCGGCAACTGCCACGATTACATCAATATTTTTGGGCATTGGACAGCACATTTACTGATCTTTTATTTTTCATCCGTATGAGTTGAATAAAGGTTTGAAATCTCAATAAAGCAGGCATTTTCAAAGCCGCCTCGAACCGGAGCAAGTTCGAGCTATAAAAGTAGAGCAAAACCTTACATGAAAGTTTGAACGTTGAAGGTAGCAGCGTCGAGCGAAAGCTCGTATTGAAGTGTCCGTATATTATAAACCGGCCAAAAAAGTGTTCGGTGCACAATGCTTTTCCAAGATTTATAGCGACTTTCATTTTTGTGCTGCGTACATTGCTTTCGGCTACACTCTTTCACATGGTACCAGCACTTTTTTGCGTGTTTTTCAGAATGTCTGGAAAACGGCCAAATGGCCAAATTTATGGTGTTCGTATAATTATGAATCGGCCTTTATGTGTAGAGGTTGCTGTATAAGCCGCGTTTAGCTTTTGTATAATCCCTCCTCAGTGGTCAACACTTTTTTCAAGTCAGTTTTTCTGCTTTGAAGTTGACAAAAACATCCCAAACTTGTGCTGGTTTTCTAATCCGACAGGGCTAAATTTAGGGTTGGCACGAAAGTTCTCATTATTTTTGAAACTCCCATTAGCCCATTGCTGTCATAGCGGATTTGCTTGCTTTTAACTTTATTTAAACGGGTAGGTTACGCTTTTTGGTTTCTTAACGGCCAATAAGCACTTAAATGGATAAAAGCGATAGAAGAAAATTACTGCCGCTCAAATTTTGTTTTTTCTTTGTTTGTTCGTGAAAAATCTGAACTTGGCGATAATGCAGCAATTGATGTTATAAGTTTCATCCTGCGGCCAGGGCTCGGCATGAGGTGGCTTTGTTATTTTTTCAGAAACGAAGAACCCTTAGATCACAAGAATACGACATACCTATGACGCGAACATGAAATGATAAAAACGAATAATGAGAAATTATGGAACAAAACATAAAGAAAACATTGAACAGACAGAAAAGATCTGAAAATGTATAAAAAAATATCCTCCGAATTGGGCGGCATACCGTGTCCGGCGCGCACCCTTGTGCGCTTGGAGAAGGCATGCCGCCGCCATACAAAATATTTGGAGGGCTGTAACTATAGAAGAGGGGGTTTAGGGAGATTCAAAAGCTCGTTGTAGGATTTTTGATGTAGAATGTTTTTATGTCAAACATATGAAAAAATTATGTGAATGAAGGGAAATTTATAACTTTTTCTTTTTATAACCACCTTGGGTGTAAAGCCACCTTACTCCGAAAAAAGTTTGTCACGCCTTTAGTTCACATAATTTTTTCACATAATTTTTTGCACATAGTCCTAACCCCCTACTGCCCATCTACACATCAATTTTGGTGTCATTTCATATTCTCTTCACTTTAAACAAAGTCTTTTGTTCATTTCGGGGCAAGTTTGAAATCGCACCTTAGACGGCGAACCTGTTAGAATAGAAGAATTTTGGTTTTGCAGGAATGGGATCGATAAGGCAGGAATAACAATGCGTTTTCTATAGAAGATAAAAAGTGACCTAAAGAAAAAATGCGATTGTCTGTGTGCGGTGGGGGGGGGATATCCGTTAAACGATATCCCCTTTGCTTTTTATTCCAAAACGATATTTAGCTTGCCTTGTAAGCCACCTATGCCGAACCATGCTTGCGGGAGCCACCTGTGCCGAACCCTGCTTGCCGAGCTATAATAGAGATCAAAAGCAGGAAAAAAACGATAAACTACAGCTCTCCTCCCTCACCCTCCACTTCGCTTCCCTCTCGCCCTCCACCTTGCCTTCCCCAACCCCCTCTGTGAATGAGGCAAACGAAAAATTAGAAAGCAACAAAGAGAGGAGCAGAAGTAAAGATGAAGGACACCGAGCTACCGGCGAAAAGATTCACGCGTCGGTTTGCTGAGGAGAAAACTTTGCATTGGAGCAGAGCAGTGAAACTCTGTGAAGATTATAATAAAAAGCTTAGAGGAAAAGTATGGAACAGGTTTTTTCTTATAAAAATTTTTATAGCAAAGATGCAAATGTAAGAAAATACGAAAAATTATATGAGCAAAGGCCTCCAGCTCAGCTGGCACTTTGTTGAAACGGTTCCAGCTATCGGAAAAAATTTTTGGCACGGCTTTCATTCGCATGAGTTTCCATGAATTTTGAGCCACTGTTGGAGGCCCCCACGCGTGTGTGAGCATCAAATCAGGCGTCATATCATCGCGTCTTGATGGTAAACAAGACTTTTGTTCGTTTATGGCCCAATTTCAAATCACTGCGCTAATTAGCCGTTGGCATCCCGCCTGTATTCCATCGGTACGCCGCCGATGTAACGAAATTATTACGCTCAAGCCTCGCTCGGTGTCTTTGTATAGTTGTCAGATGTAGTGCACATATTTATCAGGCAAAGGTGAGATTTCAGCTGGATTACATCTTGTTCTGCTGGCTTGCGAAAGAATGGTGGCCACCAAGCGTTCGCGGACATATGAAAAAGAATCCAATGTTTGTCTACTTATGCTCGCAATCCTAATCATGGTACGCAACACAAATCTTGAGTAACAATGCCAACAATGCTATATTTCAGTGGGCAGCAGCGGTAGCTACCATTTATCCTTGTAAATATGCCACGTACGGTGTCATCATGGTTGCGGCCTCCCAACTGGTGCTTTATATGATATCGATCTTTGTAGGTTTTTACTATTAGGTTGGTGCAAAAGTAATGCGCGTTTTGCGAAATCTCACTTTGACGTGCTATAACTTCCTAAAAGATCTATAATTTTCAACGCGGTAAAAAACATCGAAGGCACCAAACCTTTCACAATGCAGCGCACATCTCGCTATACTCATATCACCAATGGACAGAAAAATATGGATTGATAAACAGAAAAAGTTTTTTTCTAAAACCTCGCTTTCAACTGGTCATAACTCCTTTCAAAATTTATCAATGTAATTGATAAGTAGCCTACCTTGTAGCCGTAAGTCAACAGTACAAAAAAAGTTGGATAGGTCTCGGACGAAAAAAGTTCGCAGAAAGAATAAAATTAAAATCCAAAATTGTCCACTTTTTTGGACATTTTTTCGCAAGCCTAAAAATCCCTAAATAGGGGGTTTTGTTGATTTTCTGCGTAATGAACAGCTACACAATTCTGTGAAAACTGCCAGTAGGAGGCGCACCCTTACGCTTACAGAAATGAGCAAAGCTTTGGCGATTGCCTTGTTCATAGGAAATTTATGGGACACAGAATGACCAAAAGGGCTGCGCATGTTGAGACGTTTAAATCTCAGTCTGGGTAATTTCTGGGAAAATAGTAAAATGTGCGTAATGTAGACAATTTCCATTAAATACAGTAGCTAGAGTTTCAAAAGTTTGCCTTTATTCGGGCTTGATCTCTGGCCAAAAAAGTAGATGCAATAAAATTCTGGTTTCGAGTGCGGTTGCGTGAAACTCTATTATTTTTTAACTAATGAAGCTAGAAGCCCGTTTCAACCACCATTGGATAGAGGATGAAAGGAGCTTCTTGAGAAGACGCTAAGTTTTTTTCGAAGGGAAAAGTTTGATGGAGAAAAGTTGTCCTAAAACAAGGGCTAGAAAAACGCGCATTACTTTTGCACCAACCTAATAATTGTAAAGTTTTTGTACTGAATTTGCACGTAACCTAAGTTTCAGTTCTAAATCGCCTTCTTTCACTCTTCAAACTCTTTATAACGTTGATCGTTTCTTCTCAATATGAATTATTGCCAGCAAAGCTTTGGCAATCTAGTTTGCATTATACCTTTGTAGCATCATCGAAACGTTTCATTATGCTAAAATTACAGGACCATAGGAGCAAACTTTGCTCGTAGCTTTGCCAGTAGTCGGCTGTACAGGAGGCTAGGTTTGGAGATTAAGGAAAAATTTTACCTCAATTTCACGCGTACAACACGCACCTTTTTGGTTTTTCAAGCGTGCAGCTCAGCCGCCTCGTTGTGTTCTTTAAAACGGCACTTATGCCGCACGATACTCTCAGGCAATATGCAGCACTGTAGATAGTTTTTCGGTTACGAAGTTCTTTAGCGTGTCTATGCTGTTCGATTCTAGAAAAAAAATTCCCGCGCGTCCTATACGCGTAAAATTAGGGTACAAGAAAATATTTAAGCAAATTTAGCTATCATGCTAGACGGCTATTACCTCAAAAACGAAGAAACGCTAGGTGCACAGTTAACGAGCAGCTGATAAGCAAATATATTCAAAGAAAATCACTAGGATGGAAGTAACTAAGAAACTATGGCATGCAGAAAAGATACTAGGCTGCTGCACAAAATCTGTCCATTTTCTGCCTTGTGTTTGAAGAAGCAGTTTTGAGATTTTTACACATAATGCTATTGATATTTGTATCATTGAAAGCGCTTTTCTTGCTCTTTCTAACACATAAGATTTTTAATAAATCCCCTCAGTCTAACGAGAGCAAGCCAATGATCTCCAAGGTCGTGGCACGTTCCCAGCTAAGAAAATGTTCTTGCGAGAAAATCTTCACAATGTGCCCTTCAAGCCATGTCTTTCGATTGGTCACGGAATGAGGGTGAAATAATCTAGTATATGCACGAACTAGCTGTGATATAAAAACGTCTTATTAGTGAAATTTGTTGTCGAAGAATAATTATTTATACAGAAATTTTACAAGCGAAAAGTTTTTGTGAATAAAGGCAATCGATTAGTTTAATGCTGGGGGTGCTAGAGTAAAGCAAGAGCTACTAAAGCGCAGTCACCAATCACTTTTTACCCCTCGCGACAAGTATAAAATCTTTATAATTTGAAAGTAGGCATACATGTACTGAAACGAGGTTGAAAACGGCTTCATTTTTATTCGGTCAAAAATATACTCGGGACCGAAACCCTATGGGCACTTTTGAGTTGTGGAATAATCTTCGAAATTTTCTCGATCTACCCATGGCTACTTGATATGCCTGTCAGTTCTCATAAGGGAGCATTCCATGCCAAAAAGGACAGGACTGAAGAAGAGCGCTTAAAGGCAGTGTCCGGGCAAAAACTTAATCTTGAGATTTTTTGCTTACCCCGACTTATCCGCTACGCTGAATGCACATTGGAGAGCGCGAAAACGGCGAAAAACGGCTTCAACACGGGAAGAAAATCAGCAGGTGGGCGGTTTCCTCCCCACTGTGAATTCACGCTCCCAGCTTCCAGAGCATCTCGTTTCTTATTTCAAGTTAGCATTCGCACCTGGTCGGTGGAGATCTCAGGGCGCTAAAGGAATTGGAAAGATCTCTCCAGAAGCTGGGACTGCGAAATTCACAGTGGGGAGGACCCCGCCCACTTCCGATTTCCCTCCTGCGTCAGAGCCCTTTTTGCCGTTTTCGCGCTTTTCAATGTGGATTTTCGGATTCAGCATAGTGAATAGGCCCGGGTAAGCACAAAATCTCAAAATCGACTTTTTGCCCGGACACTGCCTTTAAAGTTTTTGATCCTGCTTCTTCTCTAACAAGGTTTCTCGCAAGTTAGTATTTTTCTGGGCAAAAAATTGCTTTACACATAGGAACCGAGAATATGGAAATAAGTTGATTTTGACTCAAAGTGTGCGTCACGGAAACCGGTGTGCATGTGGGGAGGGAGGCGTAGTCGATCTTTAGTCATTTGCCATGCCTAAAGTTGTATATTGGAGTTCCTCCATACCACCGTTCCAATGCTGCGACGACGCCGCTGCAGATCTAAAGAGAATATGCACATGCTACCGCAGCTTCGCGGTTTATCAATGTTCCTTCACTTGCATGTTTGTTTTCGCGAAGAGTATTCCTTAAAGGCAGTAGATCGGCAGAATGAGACCCGTGACAAAACAAGGTCTCAGGGGGAGCCCCCATATGGAACCTATCGGCCAAAGTACGATCTTTCTCTGCCATTTCTAGCCCCCGAAATTTCAACGCGGAAGCAGCGCTCATATCCTGTATTCTTTGGCCCCGCCCATCCCATGGTGGCAGAGAAAGATCGGACTTTGGCCGATAGGTTCCATATGGGGGCTCCTACCCTATGACCTTGTTTTGTCACGGGTCTCATTCTACCGATCTACTGCTTTTGAAGGCAGTGTCCGGGCAAAAAGTCGATTTTGAGATTTTGTGCTTACCCGGGTCTATTCGCTATGCTGAATCCAAAAATCCACACTAGAAAGCGGGAAAGCGGCGAAAAAAGGCTCTAATTCAGGAGAGAAATCAAAGGTGGGCGGAGTCCTTCCCACTGTCAAGTCACGCTCCCAGCTTCAGGAGCGATCTTCTCGGTTCCGATTTCAACTCAAGCGTTCGTACTTGGCCGATGGAGATGTCAGGGCGGTTAGCGAAATCGATAAAACCGCTCCAGAAGCTTGGAGCGTGAATTCACAGTGGGGAAGATTCCGCCCACCTCCTAATTTCCCTCCTGCATTAGAGCCCTTTTTCGCCGTTTTCGCGCTCTCTAGTGTGGATTTTCGGATTCAGCATGGAGGATTGGCCCGCGAAAGCACAAAATCTCAAAATCGACTTTTTGCCCGGACACTGCCTTTAACTTAGCAATTTCTCTCTCTTTTGCCTTGTCTCATCATAGGTTCGGGGTTTTTCATTCTGGTTGAATTTGGGAATTTGGGTGCGTTCTCGATTTCCCTGAGTTGTTTCGCTTAGTTAGTTTTCACAGTGATTTCAATGCGCTATGCTCCTCTATTACTCTTGAGGTTACTAGACTTTTGCAGATCAACTTGATGCTATTTCCATAGCAGAACCTTTATGCAGAGCTATTGAGATCTTGCAGAGCAACTTTGATAAAAAGCTGCGGTGGCATGGGCATATTTTCGCTGCAGTTGCAGCGGCTTACGTCACAGTAGCAATCGCAACATTGACTGTCCGGCAGCAATGATATAAGATAATCGCTTTGTGCCTTTGTCCAAGACAGTTGGCCGCGGTTCGAAGCCGGCTTCAAGCCCTGTGTTCCGGCACAGTGAAGGAGAGGATTACTACGGCTCTCCTGTCCAGAGTCCCCTCTCTCTTATATAGCAAGTTTGACGTAGCTTGCCTTTCAAGACTTCCACACCAGGAAAAATCGCGGCAATTGATGAAGTTTGCATTACATTTTCAGCACAGAAATTTTGCTAGCTGTCTTTCAGCGTGCATTCCGCTATACAAATTTTCGCAGACACTGTGCATACTGGCAAGAAACTTTGCTATTCTTTCGGTGTTTTGATGGATTTGTGGTAAGAAAGTCAGATCCGACAAATGTCTTCCATAAAAACCAAAGCATGCATAAAAAGCTAGAAGAATTAAATTTAGGTGATGTTTGAACTCCAAAAAATGGTTTTTTGGGTTCTTTTTTTTTCGATAAGAAATAGAGGTATAAAACGTGCATTGTCTCTGCGATGGTGCTCTTGAAATCCTAGTGAGAACAAACATTATCTACGCTTTCAGTGAGCGGGTTTTCACACTGTTAAGCTTCAGCTTTGTAACTGTAAGCAGAGCAACAAATTTTTCTTCCAAATTTTGAACTGCTGTGACTTCCAACAAAATTTTGATCATCCCATCATCGTTTTTGGTTCAGAACGACAGAACCCAACATAAAGCACCGAGCCGCACTGAATCCCCTTATCAACTCTGAAATTGGCAGCTTCTTTAAAACTACAATCTCAAATATGGTTTTAGCTTGAAAGTTCAGGAGAAAGCACGCATATATGAACTGTGTATATTGCAATTGGGAAAATCGAGGATTTGCAAGCAAACATTCCGGAAGAAGTGGCGTTGCCTTTTAAAAAATGTGCTAGACCAAACACACGCACCTTATTCAGCGAGGCGAGCCACAAAGTTATTCAATTTCAGTTGATGTTCTATGTAAAGAAAGCGAACATGGAGTGCTGGCGTCATAACCGATGTTCTTTGGAGTTTTCGCATATGTATCAGGTAATGAGAAAATAACAATTTAATGAGCTTGTTTAGCAGCTTAGAAATGAAGTTTGGGCCAAATAACATTACTGAGCAAGTGTTGAGAAATTGGTTCGGAATTAGCACTCCATTGGCTTAATTGAAGCCCATCAACACAGCAAAAATAACCGTGCACATTTCTTAGGTAGTCTTAGGCAGAGTACAATTTGAAAACTAGATCTACTTGAAAATGCTCAATCTACTTATTATCTGTATTGTTTCTCTGACACAGCATACATACAAGCTGCCCTCAGAATCAAAAGTTAATATAGCTTTTATAGCCTAAAAGGATCAAAAAATACAAAAAGCCGAAATAAATGATAAAGTACAGATTTATTTGCTTTCTTAAACAACAAGCATCCCAGGTCTTTCGGGCCTTTTGGACGTGTACAAGCTTTCACATTCACTGGAGCAGCTTGCGCACGTGAAAATAGGGGCAAAAGCTGTCTTCCGCATCTTGTACCAGATACAGAAATCAGCTTATGCCCTTATTTTCATGTGCAAACTGCTTCAAAGAAAATCATCTCAAAAGTCCGCGCGGAACCCTCTACCGCCACGAGAGAGCACCGCTTCGCGAAGTACATGCTGAACAATGCATCTGAGTTTCCTCGCATCTAGAGCAAACAGTGTGCGATTTGTATACCTAAATAGGGTATATGGAACATGAAGCTACTAAAAACCTATCTGATTTTTCAGCTCAGACAATCTTTCGTTATTAATTTGCTCCCTTCTGCTATTGGTGTTTGAATGGTGCAGCCTTTAGACTTGAAGCCCACGGAATTTCGAACATTTCTTGTAATCTAAAAATAGAACAAAATTTTTGTTTGTACAAAAAAGCTGTGTGCTGTGGTCATAGATATGAAAAGATTTCGCCCTTTTTGGTTTGTAAACAAAGGTTCGCAGCATAGTTCTCAGAGATTTTCGCAAGACTTCCATATGTAATGCCGAGTTTTTTAAGGGTGGCAGAGTCATACTAAACTTTATCTAAGGCGTGATACCACTTTATTAGAACTCTTTGGTAGAGGGGTTGTTGCAGTATATGTGGGGTCGACAAAGCTTACAGACAGAGCTATGAAATTTGCAACTGAGGTCATCGACTTATTGTGTAAACATGCTTCTACAATTTGAGCTTACTAGGGCATCGCAGAAATCAAGGCTGGAAATTGAATTCAAATGTTGGTACTGTTTCTGCTGAACATCTCGAAACGCTTCATCCAAGAGAATGCGTCTTTTTTTTGTATTACTTCAATTTTTCTGGGGAGTGTTCTATGTGTATTGCATATGATTATTGCTTTACTACATTAAAAGCTCGAATTCAATTTTTCTTTTCCCATTGAATGAATTACAGGTCAGAGAGAACATCGAAACGTCTATGAGCTTGTTCAGGGTGTTTGCAGGAGTAATTGTCCAATCTATGATCGGCTGGGCATCATTATTAGTTGCAAACACTTATAAGTAATTTCATTCCCGCGTGTCTCCGCTAAAACTCCCAATCTTGTTTTTTAGATCCGTTTTCCAAAATCTAATTTTCTATAGAGTTTTCTATTTTGTATATGACATGAACCTGGCTATAACACCTATATCAATTCCTCTTCTATTGTTTTTCTGTAATCGCAAGATCAACACCGCTTTTAAAAGGCAATATAGTAAAGGTAAGGTAACTCCCCGGTTCAAATTTTTTTCTAAATCTTGTCGCTTTCAGTATTTCACAGAAAGCAGAACTCTGCTCATGCTGCACGCAATTTAGTCGGTTTGGACGGAAACAAGCTTCATGTGGATGCAAGTTTACCTTCAAAATGTTACTGTTAAATTTTGCTGACTTTGTTTTTGCAGATCAAAGAAGAAGCTAACGTGTATTTTCGACAGCTACAAAACGCTTGGGATTGACAGATTAGCGAGTGTGCAGCTTTCCCGCGAAACTCACTAGAAAGCAAAAGAACTAAATATAAAATGTTCGAATCGTTTGGAAACTATATCTAAAGCTAAATTGTTAACTGCGTTTCCAGATTCTTCACAGAGGCCGCATTCATCATTGATACCTTGAGGTAAATCCTACTTTCAGGTAGTTTTATCACTCATTATCAGTGATAGAACTATATGGTGATGAGCGATAAAACTACCTGAAAGTAGATTTACCTCAACGTATCAATGATGAATATGTCCTCAGGTTTTGTTTAATGGTGCTAGAAAATTATTCCTTTGTTACTAATGTCAAGAGCTCGCTGCTCAGTTCGCTGAAACTCTATTGCACATCGGCGCATATAGCTGTAACGAATCTCTTTGCTACAATTCATCTTTAAACTTGGATGAGATTAACCAAACCATTTGTTGCATGTTTGCAGAAGAGCGTGAAAACTAACATATTTCCTATGCTTGAATTTGTACTTCTTATTTAATCTTGTAATTGCATTAATTTGTCAGATTGTATATTTAATATTGTATATTTAACTTACATGCGACTTATTAAGCAACATGTGACAACGTATAGAACTAGGATGTTATGTATTACATATTCCCAAATGTAGCGTTCGGCTATCCAGGCGTATGAGTTGTACGCTTCGAAAAAATCCAAAAAGTCCAAAAATCGCTATCAGGTTTTACCACTACTGGACCGAGGTATAATAATTAATCTCCTACTGAACTTATGCAAAATGCATGTAAGCCCATGCCACATTTCATTGCAAACCCACAGAGATATGTGTAACGCTGCTGCCATGGATTGCGAGTTCGGCTAGCTTCGCTGGACTCTCTTCTGAGTTCCGTACAAAAACTCCTCGTTTCCGCCGGTTCCACACTTATGATACCAAAAAAATGCAACAGCATGTACGCTTCTCATGCGAACAGTGATATGAGTAAGCGTTTGAAAATAGGGTCTTTTGTAGCAATCATTTCAAGTTTCTGTATTAGACTTATACGTAATTGTATGCTCAAAGCTTCAAAGGCGCAAGTGTAAATTTTTACTCATTGTTATGTGCTTTAACTTGAGATGTGCCAAGTTTAGCCTTGAAGACCCTAGAAGAGCGACGTCAATGTACCTTCAAAATCTCTCTGTTTCTTATACTGGCTACAACACTGCAACTATATGTGCAAAGTCTATTGGTTGAAATGAGCACTGCGAGGTCCATAGTTGAGTGAGGATGGTATTCGGCGTCAGTGCAAATGCTAGACAGGTTGCATTTTGCCATCAAATAGTGGAAGGGTCACTGTCACCCAGCGTGTTGTGTATGCCTACTACAATTTGTTTCAAGCTTGAGCCGTAACAAGCAACAAATGCGCCAATAAGTACAATCTCTCGATCTTTTATAGCAGATCATACCTTGTCTTGCCGTGCTTGTTCGAGAGCATTTATTTCCATTCTAATGTCTCTGAAAAGCGATGTTACGCGCATGCTAAAACCAAAAAGTCTCTATAGATGAACGTGATAGTTTTTGTTTTAACAGAGAATAGTTTGATGTAAAACCGCCAATTTGAATTGACATTCCAAAAAGTCGAATTATTATGGAGCAATTATCAAGGAGCAATATCCGCTTGCAGTACATGCAGTCATCTGTGCGGATTCATCTTTTTGCCTGCTGAATTATCGAAATAAATTATAGGAAGTTGTGATTGAATGATAAATGCATGGAATCTTGGTTTCCATCAAATTCAAATCCTGATGTTGACAATTTAGAGTCTCTCATGTCACGGTCATATTCAATCATTTCTCGATTCTCAAAAGCTTCAAGCATTGAGTTGTCACAAAGGCCTTAGACGTTTTCACTGTTCAATTTGATTATCATCCTTCCCAAAAATAGCTGTTGCAGCTGTAGCAATTGATTATATTCCAATCCACAAATCCTTGACAAGTCACTATTGTGACAGCTACAAAAAAACATTTTATTTGCAAGATCGACAAACGCTTTTTTCAAGGACCCCTGCTTTGACAAGCCATAACTTATTATGAATTGTAGTTGGATACCATATACTTTGCCCATTCCATAACCACTGTCTTGTTGAGCAGTGACAATGGCCCCCAATTTCATTGGCATCATCCATGAAAAATTTCTGCAAAAAAGTCAAAAGTACCCTTGCTCTCTCCAAATTGGCAAAAAAATACTTTGCTGAGTTTTTTTTCAATTTTCTTTGCTTTTTTTCTGAAAATTGGAAATCACTTTCTTGTGCGATGTGCTACTCTCAGTTTTGCAGTGTAAAGCAGTAGTTTCATTTCTGATTCCGCTCACGATTTTTATGTGACTTGTAAGGATCAAAACGAGATTAATGCTGAAAATTTCTGAATTCAAAATTCTTGAGAAACATATTCTGGAAAGTGCTATGTAACATTATGTATGAGTTTCCAGAACACTACACATGTTTCAAAAAATTTTCTTTTGCCTGTGGTTACCGAGGAAAAAAAGAGCAAATGGAAGTTTACAGCAAAACGATATACACGAAAACATAAAACATATCATAATGTTCAAATTCTCAATTATCAAATACTCCAAAATCATTGACATTAGCACTTTTGATTCAAAAAAAAAAGACAAGTAGGGCTACCCAAAGCTCTAAAAAAGACAATTACTCACATCTTGCGGATAAGACATTGACAATAAGAAATTTCCAAGTTCTGTCTTCTCTGAGCCTACATTCTGGTGTAGTAGTTCTTGTATTCGCCCTCAGGTTTATTCACCTCCTTACGGTGGTGTCGAGAGATCTAAAGTAGTTGCAGTTCAAGTCTTTGAGCGAGACCGTCGAACGTCATTGGCGAACAGTGAGTTTAGACTTCATCACGAGCGCAACGTACTGACAAAAGGAGGAAAGTGACGTTTCCAGAGGAAATGTAAACTGTCTTGTAGACCATGGAGCGCTGATTCCGAATCTGCTTTGGCTATTTCAAAGCTTTTCTGGGAAGGGAGTTATGGGAATTTTTCGAAGCATAAATTTCAACGCGCAGCTACACTAAAACCATTCAGAACTGTAGTCTGTAGACTGGCCATGACTACTGCCAAGGTACTTCATGCAAGTATTGCTATGTCTAACAAACCCATTTTGCTCATTACTCCATTCAAGCGCCGGAAAGACCTCAACATTTGTTTCTATCTTAGCCAAAACTTCAAAATTTTTGCCTGAAAAAGTTTCTCATAACTCCCCTTCCAGAAGCGCTTTGCAGATAAAGAAAGCAGGTATAGAATCAGCGTTTTATGCCCTATAAGATAGTTTACAAAAACTGCACTTCGACCAAGTTCCCTTCCATTGTGAGGCACATTCCGGTAAAAAAAGGTGACCTTTGACCTAGATGTTAGCGAGGAAGTCAGTTGCCGCCCGAGTGACACGGAAGACACTGAGAGCTGCACAGTGGATTAATCCTTACCAAGGCAGGCTGTAAACAGATATGGCAAGAGTTTGACTGTTATTGATAAGCATTGCTTCAACTTTTGTACTATATTTCTGTCTCGTATGTTGAAATTGTGTTTTACATCAAGTTCACCGCCATTGCGTGCTTCTGTCTCTCTTAAATTTTCCTAGCGGTGACAAGGTATTCGCTCGCCTATTTGATAAATGCTCCTCAATTCTTACCTTCAAATTTTACACGTCTTTTCATTACATATAGCTCTACAACAGACACATTGAATGTACACAATGGCACAACCTCTACCTTTGCGCAGTCGACTATCTTCCCGTATGGGCAAACTGTGCAGTTTTGGCATAAAGTATAATGTTTTTTTAAGTTTCCCTCCGGTAACATTTTTTACGGCTGATGTTACCAGATAGCTCATCTGTATTTAGAAAGGAAAACTATCCACGGTTTGGAGATTCTGATGTACGCATAATATACTGTGACTGATGACTGCTAGTTTAGAATTCTAAAGCATTCGTCCATTTCAAACTTTGTCGACGTTATAACGCAGCATTTATTGATGTGGCGACACTATATCAACGGTTACCGTGCCTATACTGCTTTCTCAATTTTGCTTAGAAGCAAAAGGTTAAAACTGGGACCAAGAGCTGACCGATTTGGCAGTTGAGCTTTGAACAAATGCACAGGAACCTTTGTAAGCAGTTGGCTTACAATTTTACTCAAAAACCAAGATCTACCTGTAGGACCAGCACAACATTTTATCCGCCGTATCCGAAGGTGCAGACATAAATCAAGCTCACTTGGTGTTACTTTGTGGGTCTACGAGATGGAAAACACTGGGCAAACTGGGTTATCGGACGACACTGTTACCAGCCTTAGCCTGGTAACAGTCTCGTCCAATCTTATAAATTTTGCTGCTATTACCCAAGCCGTTTAGTCTTTTGCTTGTTAGTCTTTACGTCAGAGAAATGTAGCTCTTTTGTCTATCTAACCTTTTTGCTTCATTATTATTAAAACACCTCCTTTCTCGCTAGAAAATACGAATAGATTTGAGGATTAAAGAGATAAAGTTTAAAGATTTGCGTAATTCTTTGAACACTTGGTATTGTTCTCATGTAAAGCTGTTGCGACGTATGTGCTCGAATCCGTAAAACAGAAGTTCTATTTGAGAGTACGCGAATTTTGAAATCGACAGAAGGCACTGAATATGATTGTTGTAAAAGGAAAGCGGAAATTCTTTGTCTATTTCTGCCCTTTTCGCGCTTTCGTGAGTCAGTATCTGGTACATTTTCGGCTAATCGATTAAAGGATCATGGCGGTCACTAGGTCCTTTCAGGCTTCCTCTCGCGCTTCTAGCAAAAAAGAGAGTGACCGTCGTAAGTTCGACAATGTCTCGATGAGTGCCACGGAGGGACATGAGGTTGATTTCTCTTCATTGCCTGCCACTGACCTCATCGAAGCAACTTTAGCAAAA